AAGAATGCCTCCATCACAAAAGGCTGAAGACCTAATGGTCCTGATGTGGATAAGTCTCACAGAGCGAGGCAAGGATTCTTAACATCTTTACTCACGACTATAGCCTCGGAGGCTATAACAAACATGAGCCTTGCAAGCTCCGAATAAACATTTAACCAATGTATAAAGCATAAATTTCAACAGTTACTAATATCACCAAGGCCTAAAATTTGATTATGAAGCCCTTCCGTATCCCTAAGTCCTGTTTTCTTTCCAGTGCTTGGAGATGCGCTATGACAGGGTTGAGACTTAGTCTAGTAATGCTCACACACAGCCATCTGGAGCAAGGGATGAGCTATGGGACAAGAGATTAGACCAGGGCCAACTTTAGAAAGGAGACAGACGTTGTATGTGCATGGTCATTCATGCTCACTTGTGCACACCATCTGAAACTGAACTCTGTGAAGCTGGTGTCTAATATGCCCAGCTCTGCGAAGGTAACATAGAACACAGAACACAGCAGCACCATGCAAACAGAGAGCCAAGAGCTGCTTCCCCTGCTTTGGAGATGAGGAGGCATAGTTCTGTTCAGCAGAAGGGTATTAGAATGGGGGTAGGCAGAGCATCTGTGTCCACTCAGATGCAATACAGGTTAAAATCATATGCACAAGGATGATGCTCCATCTGTAGAACAGCCAACCTGGCACACCTCAGCCAGGCTCAGGACATTGGATCACACCTTCTGCAGGAATGCTTACCACCCTTGACCCCAATTGTGAGGCCAAGGTTGGAGGCTGTATGATCCCTTTCACCTAGAATACTTACCACCTATCACCCCTGTCCTAAATCAGCCATCAGTATGTTCTAATCCACCTCTTGAGGGTCCCAGGTCCCAGGATGGCACCAGTCTGCAGACCAGACCCCACAAGAGCATCTAAAAATAGAGACATACACAGAGACCTTGGGAAATAAATGTGACTCACTCTTTACTCGAGGCATACACTGTGGAGTAGCCAGTAAGTGATTAAAAAGAAAACTCTGCTAATTAAAAGTGAGGTGGGCTTTAGGAGCTCTACCCTGTTCTGAAACTGGCTTGACAAATACAGAAGTCCCCAAAGGCAAACTGAAGCAGAGAATCTTCATGGTTTTGTTTCTTTCTCGCGTTCTTTAAACAGTGAACTTCCAGACCTCTTACAAGAAACTGAGAACATTCAGGAAGCTTTCTCTGATGGCCTTCGGTTTTCGTTTTCTGTTTGTCACAGCATCAACCCCAAGGACTATGTGATGCTGAGCCTTCTGGGGGGACACTCCTAAGAACCACTAGAAACCACCATGCACATGTTGTCTGGAGACCTGCCATCCACCATTCTTTACCACTCGCCAGTCCCCTCTGAGAAGCTCATCCTGGGACCTCACAGGTAGCGTAGTCCTGTAGCTCCCATGTATTACCTGCAAGCTCACCTAGAGCCCTTCCCATCTCAGCCCCCAAAGAGACAGGTCAGGAAAGCCCATGGGCTTCGATGCAGGCTGCTCCAGATCAGTCAAAGGCCAGGAAACACAGCCTGCTTCCCAGCCATGGATCCTTGGAGTACATACACCACTGAGAACCCCAAACTAGTTCATCTCACAACCCCCACAGCCTTCAACTGTTTAAGCAGTAGAGCCTCAGAGCTAGAGGGACTGCCTGGGGTCTTCATCCTTTCTTCACGGGCATCCATAAAACACATGTGAGCACATATGTGCACCAACCCCCAGACACACACCCCACCCCCATCTGTCTTCAAGTACCAGGACCAGAGGAGAAGAGGAGGGGGCAGCAAGATGGGATTGCCCCCAGATCAATGGATATTTGAAACTCAAACACATGGCCCAGGACCTACACTGCATGTGTTAATTACCACACATGTGCCCATAAAGGAGTCGCTTAAATGCGAGGGGCACAAAGAACAGAGCAAAGAGAGGACATTCCAGGGGATTAAGTAAATAGTCTGAAGTTGTGACCCCCCCCCCCCGCACGTGCATCTGGGGAAGATAGCAGTGCCCCTCCCCCACTTCTTCCCTCGGGGCCCCACACCTGTGAGCCCAGGAACCACAGCAACCCAGACCCCCCAGCCTGGCCAAGCAGCAGCGGTGACCTGCTGCCGCCTGGCCTCCCTCCCTCCCTCACGCTATCTCTCTGGCCTTCCACCCCAGCTGCCTGCACCCTGCCTTTCTCCTCCTCTCCTTCCAAGGCCTAATTCCTGGCTGGCGACCAGACTCTGAGCAGTTGGTCGGTCGCACAATACGGCTTTTCATTCCTTCCAGGCAGAGAGAACTGATCCTTCCCAGCCCATCAGTGGGGCATATTCAATAAGGCCAGAGAGTTAGGGGAAGAGAGAGGCTGGGTCCCACCGCTGCCTTGCTCCTGCATCCCTCACACCCACAGACCTATGGGCACACCTCCTTTCCAACCACACTCCTTGCTCTCCCAGGGGCCAGGCCAAACATCATTTGGCTAGCAAGGCCCAACTCTAGAGAGATGCCTTCTGGGAGAAGGCACATGTGGGTATGAGCTCAGACAAGGGGCCTTTGTGTGGTCCCACCTGCTGCCCTGCAGAACGCATTCCATTCTTAAGTGAAGCTGAAAGAGGAACCTCTGCAGGTCGACACAGGATATTACAAATGCCCTCTCACACTCTGTCCCCATTCAAACGCTGGCTTCCTAGGCAGGTGTGACTTCAAGTGGCCTTTCCTACAGGTGGCCAAAGAAAAGAGGATCCTGTACCTAAACCGCTCCTCCAAGTGGAGGGAAAATGAGACCCCTGGGCAGAGTTCAGATCTCCAGGGGAGGCTGAGACCAAACACACACCACCCACCCTGCCACCCACCACTTGTCCTGTCCTTTGCCTCCACGGACCCCTGCAGGAGGAAGTGAGCCAGCCATCAGGACAAGGGATCAAAGAGCTGGGAGCTTACTTGACTTCTCCCTCTAAGGCAGCAATTCTCAGCCTGTGGGTCACAACCCCTTGGGGGGGGGGTCACAAATAAGATATCCTGTATATCAGATATTTAAATTATAATCTGTAACAGTAGCAAAATTACAGTCATGAAGTAGCAATGAAATGATTCTATGGTTGGGTTCACCACAACACGAGGGACTGTATGAAAGGGTGGCAGCATTAGGAAGTTTGAGAGCCACTGCCCTGGGGAGAGGCTTCATTCTTTGCATTACCCAGCAGGAGTCAGGCTCCTGATGAGTCAGGCTCCTGATCCCTCCTGGCTGACGCTGTCTGGTCTAAGGGGGCAAAGGCTGCTATCTACCGAAATGCCATCTGCAGTCCACCTGCCCTTGTCCACCTGGCTCAGTAGGAACCAGGGTGGCCATCCCTGTTACCCATGGGGTACAAGGCCACCCTTTGCTATCCAGAAAAGAATGCAAATCTCTCAGCCAGCCTTTCCAAACCCCGCCTTGTGCCGCCCCACCCCCACCCCACCTCTTTCTGATGGGAAGGATCAGTTCTGATGGGTGACATGACTGTTAGCAGGTTTTCTCTGCCAAGAGGCCCTCACACCTGGAAACAAAGGGGAGGCTCCTGAAGCATTTCATCCTGCGGAGTGGAATGAAAGCAGCCAAACCCTCCAGGCGCATGCCACCAAAAGTCCTGGTGACTTCGGGCCTCCACAGAGACACCTCTGCACCCCCCCCCCGCTCCCCCGTCCCCCCCCCCCCAGCCCGCTTTCCTTTCCCACCATAGCATTCCTTGTTGCATCCCCAGCTCTGGGAAGGACCTGGAAAGGTATGTGCTCCCTTCTTCCCACCTTTCTTCTTCAGGGGAAGACAAACCACCCACCTTTGGGCCCACTGTTTTAGTCGGTGATGATATCACCTTCCACTTCTTGGAGGCCCACATCTCAAGGCAACAGCTTCTCTGATCCTTAACTCCCACACTCTGTGCAGTGGCAGAAGCCTCCTCACCAGGGACTCTTATGAGTTTCAAGAACCTAAGTAGATGAGAAGCCTCAAATTCGGCCTGAGGCAGAGGGAAGCTTGGCCACACCTGCTCATGAGACAGAATGGATAGCCTGCTGCTTTCCAGGTCACCATGTGTGCTGTCCCTAGGCTTCCAAGACAGAAAGGATGGGCCGCATACTGCAGGGACCAGTTCTGCATGACGGATCCACTAAACAGCCCTCAGACAAATACTAGCTATATAAAATAGATGGACCATTTGTTAAAAGGAGGGGACAAAATTGTCATTAGAAGTTAAAAATAGAAAGCTTTACCCTCTCTACCACAGTCTCTCCCTCCCTCTGCCCCCTCTCTCTCCTTCCCATCCTCTCTTCCTTTCTCTCTCTCCCTCCCCCCCTCTTAATTTGCAATGGTAGTGTTTACATTGCTGTTTAGTGTTCTAGGTTTTTAAACAAAAGAATCAAAACCTTCAGCTTGCTATGGGAGGCAAATGGTAGCATCGCACAAACTATGTGATGCTTTGAAGGTGACAAGGCCTGACAGCAGACACTTTTCTGCCTCTGTGTACACACCTCTACCCTCTCTGTGTCAAAGCAACATGGTTGAGAATTTCAGAACAGCTGCACTGGCCGGATACCCATGAAGCCAGCCTGGCTTCAGAAGAGACTCTAGAACACTAGAACACACTCTCAAGGAAATGGCAGGGGAGGACACTCAGTTTACAAACAGGAGGGCCAAGGGCAAACATGAGTACTCTACCTTGATCCTCCTCTTTGCTGGGCATGTTGGTAGTTGTCCAACTGAACTCCCCAGAGAGCAGAAATCCACAGGGCCCACATAAGGGTCCCTACCCAACTCTGTGCCCCACACCCTCACTCCTTCCTCAGAAACAATGACAGCTGGGCCATCACCACTGTCTGGGTCATCCTAACCTCTAGCACTTCAGTGAGGAAACTGGAAATGTGAAGCGTATTTAGTTTTCACCCCAGGCTCCTGCTCTCTAAGCTAAGAAGCCCTGCTTACACTGGCTTTTGAAGCAAAACACTTGGACGAAGCATAAAACTCCACTCACCTTTTCTTCCTGAGTTACCCTGACTCAAGGGCTTGTCGGTGACTGGACCTTGGGTGAGAGAGGGAACAGAAGCACAACATTCAGATCGTACTGTGGTTGGTTTCCATCAAACACTTGGTAAAGCCTGATGTTATGAGCACATGGTCATGTATATATCTATTGTATACACACTGGGGATATTATATACAAAGTTAGTGTGCGCATGCATGTCAAGTGGGGTTTGTTTAACATCAATGTCACTGATAACCCAGACTGTTTTGAGATGAACTATGATTTCCAGGTTCCCTGGAACCAATCTTGACCAAGTTTTTATAAAATTCCACATCCATGTAACTCAAACATTCTGGTATCTGTCCCCCGCGTATATAACCCTGCACACCTCCTCTTCTCACAAGCTCTGTGCTCTGACCCACATCCAGTCACCAGGGCCAACTAAAAAGAACTCAATGATTGACATCCCTTGCTGGTCAGGACAGGAAATGGGTGATTTTCCATCTGCGCTAAGTAGAAAATTGTTGGCCCAATTGTACTGAATGGGCCAAACAGTCTGAGGCATGGAAACAATTTTCTAGACACAGCCTATTCTTCAAGGAGGGGGCAACCTGTATGCTGGCCAAACATTTGCCCTGTCTCCTCTGGGATTCCACATGCACCCATCATTCAGGCCTGCCTCTGTGACACCTGCATTCACCGGCATGTGCAGGGAAAAACCCAGTCCACAGAAAGACCTCTGTAGAACTCCTGCCCACAAGAGAAAACTGAGAATTCTGACTTTCCTAACCCACATTATACTCTTTCATCATATATTAGTTCTATGAGAATTCTGTTATCTTAGCCTGCACGGGGCTTGTGTCTGATGCATTTGTTTGCTTTAAATAAAGCCTTCCAGGTCATTTGCAAGAAGGGCCAAGTCCTGCCCCTCCTCACTCTAACCCAATTAAGGTTTCTAGTTTCTCTGTAAACCACAAATAAAGTAAACTTCCCTTTTAGCCTGTAAATTTTGATCCCTAACATACATTCTTACATACATTCTTATTACCCATGCCACTTACTTTCCTTTTTAAACAGAAGGGCCAGTTTCTTTTTTTTAAGAAAGCAAATTTTATTTTAAAATTTTAAAAATCAGTGAAAAGTTAATGCGGAATGAAGGCCTTTGGAACTAGGTTTTAGCATAATGTTTTATTCTTTGCTTGCATTTAGAATTGGGGATAAGTAAAGATGCAACCCCTATACACAGTGGATGGGTTGAAACTGGTTGTTTTGAAAGTTACTAATGAGAGGGAAACATTGGGCTCCTGTGAATCCATACACCACAATCCCACTAAACTGCCCTAACAGCAAACTGTAAGCTTACAAAGTTGGGAGTAGAAAACGTAATCTTTGTTAGGGATCCACCCAATGGATCATTATCAAACTTGTCTAATTATCAGAAAAGCTTCATAAAAACAAAGGATTTCGGGTCCATTCCAGATTTAGTACCTACTAGTCAGAATATTCAAAGAGAAGCTTTGACACTTGGAGTCTGTTTTGTCTCTCAGACACTGCAGATGACCAGCCAGACATACGACTCACTGTTAAAACAACCTTCCAGTTTTGTTCATTACAATATTCAAGGATGGCAAAGATGTGAGAGAGAAGCTAATACTCTCCTTGCCTGTGTCCATGACAGACATTACTAATCAATCACTGAAGCCATTGGTGCTGAACTCCTCCCATGCAACTTCAAAATCAATACCAATAATACACTTCAAGGCCCACTACAGGCAGCAAACAGCAACAAAATACTAGATGCATGCCATCTCAGGTCTAAGGGATTGTAGCCAATGCTTAGGGGAAGAGCACTGAACCAGAAACAAACTCAAAATAAATAAACATACACACAGTCACTGATGGACACTCTTTATGGAGCTGACTAGAGAGCAAGCACAGAGTGGAACCCTTCTGACCTGGGAAAGGACTTGTTTACCACACCAACCTTTTAAAGATTTGCCTGTAAGATTCAGAGCCCTACCAGCATTTTCCATCCAGCCCTTTCCATTCCTCCCACCCCTTCCTACGGTACCTGAACATACAGGAGTTTTATTCTGCACAGAAGAGCCACTGATGGGCTTCCCATCTGGGGTGACACACCAGCAGTACCCCGTGTAAGTATGGCACTGCACCTGTTCAGAGAAGTGGACAAGGAGGAAAATTGTAAGTCTCAGGTCTCATTCAATCACCCCCTCGAGCCTTTCCCAAGCATCCGCACACCAGAAAATCTCCTTCCACCCCCCCCCACTCCCACATCTGTCCCAGGACATCTATCTCACAGGTAGAACAGTCAGGCAGATCCAGCATCGATGTTGTGTTTGCTTTATGGCCCTTGTGTACAACCACAGCAATTACCTGCATCTTTCTTCTAACTCCAAAGACTTAAGATCTGACAGCCTATGGGGAAAGGTCCACTGTGATGCCTTACTCCAATACCTGTACTTTCCCCCAGAGCTAGCATATGCTCCCATCTAACTGTAAAACAGTCTGAGCAGAGAACCCATTTGGCAAGTATCTGTGGGAATGTCACCACTAGGGATTGACAAGGCCCTTCTTGAACAAGTAGAGACAAATCCTAAGTTTTTCTCATAAGCAACATAAGCCTGCCTTGTGAGAATGCAGCTCTCCTGAGACAAGGACAGAGCCCCCTTGTGCCTGCACGGTCTTCGGCTAGAAGCCCTGCTGCACCGCAGGGTGATCTTCAAGCCTGAGGGCCAGAGCTGGCTGTCTGGGAATGGTTAATTAAAGTGAGGCTTTCTTTTAATCTTCCAGAGTAGTTTCTTTCTCCTCCAGTAGCTGTTACCTTACCCACCTTCTCCCATCCTACCCACTGCCCTCTTCCCATCTGTTTTCTCTGCAGAGTCACTAAACACCTATCATGACAGATTGCCTTGTGTGAAAGTCCTCAATGATTTGCTTTTGTACTCAAGATAAAGACTAAACTCATCTCCATGATACTTACAGGTCCCTAACAATCTGTTCCTGCCCATCCTTCTGGTGTCATCTTTACACCCAAGGCCCCACAAACTCTCCACTTTGGCCACAACGAGCCCTTTGATGTTCCCAAACACAGCCTCGTTCTCTTGGTTCTGAGCCTTTGTTGGCCCCAACCACTCCGTTTCTCCACACCACCATCTCAGGCCACCTACTCCCAACCTTCTCCTAATCCCTTCATGATACACCTTCTCAAAGCCAGCCTCAGTTTCCCCAAACCCTTCCCCAAATTCAGAACCCTCCCCATGGCAAGCCAGTGAGCTTGAGCTGTTGTTCATCTGGCGGGTCCATCTTGCCGCTCTAGATGATAACTTCAAGGACTGCAAAGTAATTATTTCAGAGTCCCCAGAATCTAGTAGGAGGCTGACATCTATTCCAGGTGACTGATGGTTTGAGTGAAGGCATGGACTCCCATATTTCTTCCATTCTCGGTTTCCCATCATCTCTAAAATGCAACATCAATTTAGAAAGCCATACCGCATTAAGTGTATATCTCAATGACAAGATGTGTGCCAATTGCAAAGATATTAAAGTGTGGAAAAAAAAATGTGACACTTGGGATCAAGGACATATTGGAATTGGGGCCAGGCAGCAACTGCATACAAATTGAGCAGAGAGGAATAGAGAGAGAGAAAGGAGCAATCTGGCAGCCTGGGTGGGAGCCAGAAGTTACTGCTAGGGCAAAAAAGCTATGGAAAGTATTGCATTCCTGTGTGCATATCAAACACTATAATTTTACCCCCCAAAACAAGTTGTTTCATCCTGAGCCTGTCCACAGATACCAGGGTAGAATAAAATAGTCTCTTGTTCCTCCCATGGTTGCTGTCAAGTGGAGCACTTGCTCCCATCTCTGCAGGGACGCGGCCTAATGCACAGAAACCAAGCCACGCTGTGCTCCTTCTTCATCGTATAGCCTGGAGACACCAAGAAGCCACCCACATCAACATTCCAGGCTTGGTAGCACTACTTCCCAATGAGGTGAATGGTGACATAGAAAGAAATCAAGACAGGCCAGGGACTGAGTCCTAGTCTAGCCAGTTACAGATAAGGCACATTCCTAGTTCTTTGAGCCTCTTCCTTGTAATGTGGGTAATGACTATCTAAGCTGGTGAGGTAGTCTTACATCTGGCACGTGGTGAAGGCTGGTACGGAGTGGTCACACCAGCAATACCTGCCAGGTGTCTCGTCACAGGACAGACCTCCTCTAGTAACCTCCACAGGTGTGGGTGGAAAGTGCCTCTGGAAACTTGGCTTCACCTGAAGCTCACATAAGCCCTGCAGGGGAGGCTTCCTAGAGCTCATTCCTATCCAGGGGCAGCATTTAAATGGAACTAATGGGAACTGGCTGGCTGCTTTCTCCACTTTGGCCAATAGTCACCTCTGGGGAATTGTCCCAAGGGCTGAGATGCCAAGCTCACTCCTAAGCTCTGGAAGCCCACTGCTGAGGCGCTCACACAAGGACTGTGCACCAGGCAACATTTAAGGCCATGCCTCAGGCTGGATGTTGCATGTTGCAGGAGGGACATTATGGTCGAGCATGCTACAGAGAACTAAGCTGTTTGAGAGCCCCTTTCCCAGAGTATGCACAGAGTTCTGCCTAAGGTTACCAGGGCAGAACGGGACACATGAATAAAAAGCAAAGTCCAGAGCTTTGTTTCAGGGGATACAATCTGACCTCAGGGACCAGGGGTCCACGGGCCACATTCTTACTCAGTATGCCCATTGTCTCCCTGGGTGCACATGGGCCCTGGCCAGGCCCACAGAACCAAACACAACTCCTTTCTCCCGTGGGTCCTCATCAGCTTTTTCTTCCAACCACACTACAAGGAAAAGGACAGCAAAAAAACAAATCTCCAGCCTGGGAGTTGCTTCCAAATCCCATAACAGTGAAACCAAATGAGGAATTACTGCCCAATTTCTTCAAGGCCTTGGACATGCCTGACCCAGCTGTATTAAAAGGGGGTGGTAGGAGAGAACAAAAAGGGGCACAGGGACTCTAGCAGGGTCTCAGATTGGGGGAATTGTTGGGGTGGCTAAGCTAGACCTCTTTGCTGAAGGAACCATAAGGAGATCACCCATGATTCAAACTGAGAAGTTGTAAGTTGCCTTGGAATATTTGCAGTCTGCAGTCATTCCATCTGCCTAAGCCTCAGATAACTGCATTCATTTTAAACAGGGGAAATAATAGTAAGAACGCCCATCTCTGTTGCTGGGAGAGCTAATGAGGTAGTGTGGATGAAGCATAGATGTCAGCGGTAAGAACCCAGTGAACCTAGCTGTTTCAGGCTGTGTGGTTAAAGACCTTGCCAGGTAAGCAGCAAACATGAGACCAGAGTTCGGAGCCCCAGCACTCATGTCCATAGGTGGGGAGGGCAGCCCACCTGTAACCTCAGCACTCCAAAAGCAGAGACAGGAAATTCCAGGGCAAACCAGCTGGCTGGACTAGTTGTATCAGTGAACTCTGGGTTCAACTAAAGACTCCCACTCAATGAATAAAATGGAGAAGTGACCAAAAAAGACTCCCACCATCAACATCAAATCTACACATACATACACACACACAAACACACACGCACACGCACACGCACACGCGCACACACATATGTGCACACATGCACACACACATGTGCATGCATGTACATGTGAGCAAATAGTCATACATGCTGCATATATAGACATGAAAAATACTTAGTTGTTTATTCCTATATTTAATGTATATATGCAAACTACCTGTTCATTTTAAAAGGCAAGAACCAAAGAACATACCCTGACCAGCCTATAGAAAATAAAGGGTCTGAAGTCAACAAAGTTTGAGAAAGTTTGGGCAGATGAAGGAAGTTCATTTTATATAGAAATAATTGTAGTGCATTCAGTTACTCTCTTGGAATGTCCTCAGTAGGAGAATTATTTATGCGAAATTTTCAACTACTTAGTAACAACCCGGGAAGTCAGAATTTTGGTCCAGAGAAACACAGTTCCTGGAAAAGAAGCAGTCAGATATAAATTCTATTGAACTGATGAGTTAGCAAGACACAATCAAAGCACACTGTGTGTGTGGTTTAACTCCCCTTGCAAATTTATAATTTAACTTAACAACTAATATTCTGTTTCTTTAGAATCTCTAATGGACCAAGTCCTGACCTTTAACAAATAGGATATGCCCAGGCCAAGAGGAATTGACAAGGCAAATGGTCATTTCTAATATCAGGGTTGTGCCAGCCCAAGTAGATAAAAGTCAGGAAAATAGCTCCCACTCCAGTCTAGAGCATCCTGAAGTGGCTGAAGTGTCAACTGGGGGTCCTCCTTTGGAGACCATCCAAAATAAGGCTACTTTCTGCTTCTACTCCCAGGATCCTGTTGGGTATGACTGGTGTTCCTCCAACAACTTTAAAACACTGTGCTCCTAGATAAATAAGTTCCATCACTGACTCATATGCTTTAATATTATTGGCAAAAAGTCTTTTTATGTAAACAAGCCGGGGTATATTGCAGTTCAACCTCCATCCAAATTAAGACAAATCTGAAATTATTTTAAGCCTGCTAATCATCAACATTAGTCCAACTCCTGACCACCCAGTGAGAATGTGGGAGGCCAGCACTTCCAACAAAGGCAAAGGAGTGACCAGTGGGTGCAGAAAACACCCGCTCACAGGGACAAATGGGAGGAGAGTGTGGAGAAAAATAGAGAGGCAGATGGCAAGTCTGGGTGCCAAGTCCCAGGTGGAAAATACCACCTTCAACTTTGACAAAGCTTTTCAGGCCCTAGCGGTCTCTGCATTACCTCAACTTTGGGCCTCAAAGTTACTCTGTTCAGAAAGTCCTTCGTAGGAGATTATTTACTTAAATTCTGTAACTGACGGTCTTTCTGCCCTGATTCCTAACACATACCCACATCCCTGGGAAACCTGTACCTACTCCTTCTGGAGCATGCCCACTTTCTTCTGCCTCCAGCAGGAACAGGATACTGCTGCCAGTACCTTTCCTCCTGTGTTCCAGGTATACTGACAGACATGTTTATTATGGGATGTGAATAGGAAATGCCAGAGACAGAGGCTCTCTGGTCAACTGACTTTTGAAATATTGAGTCAAGAGACTTTGCCACTATACAATTCCTCCTAGTCTTAACTTGGTGGATAAT